CAAGATATTCATCTATTCAAGTAAATGCAAACTTTGAAAATTTTTATTTTTATCTTCATTCTAAATAGGATTCATTACGCTATCAATATACTCCAAATATACCAAAACCAATAACAATTTCACCATATGATGCAGTTGATGGAAAAAAACAGCAACGTGTAGTTACTCCAGCGAATGTAAACAATAGATTTTTAATACAAGATAAAGATAGAAACAATCTTTGTTTTTTTATTTAATATTAGGTTGTTTTCTCCGATTTAGTTATTCAAGTTGTTGCCATATCAGAATCTGTTCGTTTACAACAAGTACTAGCAACATATGGTATTCAAACACAAACACCAAAACAAGTTGAACCAATTTTAGTTTGGCCACCAGCAGAATTAGTTAAAGTATGATATTTATTTTTCCTTTTTTTTTTGTAATAGAATTATTTTATAATATGTTTTAGGCATATGCAAATTTAGGTGTAAATAACAAACTTGGTTTTAGTGGACGTCCAGATCGACCTATTGGTGTACTTGGTACATGTAAGGTAAAGAAAAGTTAATTGTTTAGAATTTTTAAAATTTTGTTCAAATGAAATGTTGTATGTTAGGTCTATAGAATTTGTTCAAGAACTGTTTTATGCTATCCATTAACATTTGAAACAAATGATTTTTATATGTCAACTGATATGGCTTTATTATTAGATAATATTCGAGTAACTGCTTTTTTTTGTATCATATGGAATCGTTGTTCAAGTATAGTTAAATCTATTTAGACTGATTTTGAATTTATAACTAAATGTTGGCGTCTCAAAGGTCGACCAATATATTTAGTGATGTTACGTGAACGTCATCTTCGGTATAAATTTCTCATTTCTCGTATTCTTTTTTTTTTTTATTGACATGTGTTTTAGAGGTCCACAAAGATCGGATCTTCTCGAATTATTAACACAAATTCGTCAAGGAAAAATTTCATCAAATATATACGTACGACTAGAACGTCTACAGGTATTCTATTAAGTATTAATAATCGAAAAAAAAAAACAAAATTATCTGTTTTTATTTAGACTGCAATATCAAGTGCTTGTGTCGAACATCTAGATTTTCTAAATGATTCAATGTGTACAAGTTTGGAATGGCAAACAGTTGCTGTTCATGAACATAAAATTACATCTGAAGTTGGTCGTTATAAATCATTAACAGACGTATCAAAAATGCCTATTGTGGTTGAAGATATTGATTATAATAATCATGTATGTGTATGGTTTTGCATTTATTTTATCAGGTTTGGTAAAATAATGCAGAAAAGAGTGGATAAGTGGATAAGGTATTCACTATTATTACTATCCTTTTCTTTTTGTACGATTTATCTTTACAATGAATAATGATTAGATGATGAACATGATGAAATTGAATAATTCTGACTAGCAGTCAATCATACTTGAATAAGTAAAATTAAACATTCTGAACATATTATTTTTTCCATTCTACGTTTTCTTTTCATCGAGTTTTTCCTGCTCCCTACATTGGAGAGTTCAATCATTTTAAGCACTTCACTGTCTTAATTCTAATTAGGTCACTCTGCGTTACCTAAATCAGCATTTGTTTTTACATTCTCTGTTCATTTCTTCCTCTAATTTTTGTGTCTTTCGCGTAAAATTAACACATATTACTAAGCTATTAATATTTTAATTCTATATAGATTTTATTGAAAGTATTTTTTTGTTTTTGTATCTATTTAGGAATTTAAAAATCGACATGATGACGAATTACGTGAATTTATTAATAATGCAGATACATCGTTAGGTTCACTAAGAAAACATGCATTAGCTAGCTATGAATTATATAAACGTGGTGGTCTTGATTGGATGATTCGAGAGAATTATCGTGTTAAAAATCATCTCGAACATATATTAAAAGAAGCTGCAACATTACAACATTGGTAAAAGAAAATATTTATATAAAAATAAAATTAAAACTAGAAAATAATGTTATTTTTAGGGCTGTTATTCGTTTTGTATCTAGTCTTTTACATAAAATCGTTGATAGTTTAGCTCCATCAGTAACAAATTTACTCGTACGAGGAAAAGCGGTAAGTCTCCATATGAAATTTATTACTTGTTAATTTGATTTTTATATGTTATTTAAGGTTACTCTCGGAGTTTTTGGTCATGAAGAAGCAGTTATTGACAGACCAGTATGTCATAGTATTAATTCATAACGTTTTTTTTTTTTTTTTTGTATTTCAGTTTTATTGATTGTTTTTCTTGTAGATACGTCCGAATGAAATATTTAAGATACTCTACAGTGAGAATGTATTTGGTTATAGTATATTTCATGCCGTTCTGTTGCAAGAAATACTTATTGATGTTGCACTTTTTATGTCTACATTTCCGGTTAGTTGAAAATGATATGTCATTTAAAGAAAAAAAAAAAATCTTGAATTTTTTTTCTAGCAACTCTTTAATGGTATCCTCAAACTACGACTTGGGTAAGAAAAATAATACAAGAATGAAACGTTTTGCTATATTTTTAAGCCAAAAACTAACTTGTGAGACGATATTCATAGTTTTCTATACGACAGTCTATATCTTTTGTTGTCGAAACAACTAACATAATTTCTACTGGACTGGTTCAAACTATTATTTTCGATAGATTCAACAGTCTAAATGTTTCAATTGTTTCAGTAAACATGTATATCATTTTGTTGAACATGTAATAAACCCTAATACAACAATTCTTAGTTCTAAATTTTAATCACATATATATTTATTTCTTGATTCAATATAATTAAGTTATCTTATTGTATGTAATAGATGGATTCTTCAAGCAATGAAACTCAGTTTAGAACATTTGAAAGGTGATGTTGAAGATGCTGTGGTAAATATTTATTTTTCCTATTATTTATGAATAGTTTTTTTTTTGTATAATGTTTTGAAAAGACATTAAATACATTATCACCAAACGAAGTCAAACAATTACTTTATTTTGTTTTAACAACTGATTTACAACAAGCATCAATACAAGGTGCTGATATTGAACAAAAGTAAATAGGATATTTCTTTTTTTTTGTTGATAAATAATTTACTTTATATTGAAATTAGTTCATCTTTTCAAAAACGTCAACTGGATGGAGCATTATGTCGTGTACCAACTGATTTTTTTGAACATGTTTGGTCAATACTTGAAAGAACACCTGGAGGAATAAAATTATGTGGCGTTTTTCTTCCACAAGTAAAGCTATATGAATTATAACGAAAACAAACAAAAAATTTGAATATTTGTTCTTTTTTAGCAACCAACATTATCGGATATGACTGATTATGAATTAAATTTTTCATTAAAAATTGAAGAAATGCTTAGTCGAATATCTGATCCAGCCTATCGATGTCTTGTTGTCGAAGTAAATTGAATATTCTATGTTTTTTTTTGTATTTTTATTTTTTCTATAATGAATGATATATTTTAGATGTTTGAATTAATAAATGTTTTATTAAAACGTAATGCTGAATTACGTTTTACTCAAACACTTGATGCGGATTATTTAATACGTGAAGCTGTTAATTTATATCAACAACAAACAAATTCAACAGATCCATTTAAAGATTTCTATAATCTACCAATGCAACTTGTTGGGGGCTCAACAGGTTATATGGTTCGAGTTATTATCAACTATTTATTTAATGCAAATATGCAAAAAGTTGATAGTCTTGATTTAAATATGGGTACAAATGCCGATATATGCAAAATATCCTGATTATATATATAGATATATTCTTGTGTGGGATTTTTTTTTTATCCGTGTTTTTTTTTTGCATGAATAGAATTTAGCCATAGCATTTCACTCCAACGAATCTCTTCTTTCTCCATATTCATTTATCAATCAAATATTTTGTTCAAAACAATGAAGAGACTATTTATTTTATTAAAATAAAAACCAAATAGAATGAACAATTTTATTGTGAAATGTATGGCGGCTGCACAAAAATAAGTTATTGCCATTGTTGGTAATAAACATAAACATTACAATGTACTGAAGTTTTAGAAAAGAGTCATATGAATAATAAAAAAACAACTTGTTTTTGCAAATAAAACTAAAGCCATCGTTACTATGAATTTTTTTGTCATAAGACTTAGAAAAAATAATCTTATATCCTTCGCTTCTAAATTCCTAGATGATTTCTCACTTTCCGATTCGCATTCTATCTCTAAAATGTCACTATGAATACAACCGTCAGAAAGTTCTCTCATTTGCTCATACACTAGTTTTTCATATTAAAAAAGTTTTCACCAAAGATTGCTTTTACTCTGCCTAGAGTATAGAGCCTATGGAATTGTTTTGATTGAGTATAAAGACTTTTTTTTTGGACACTGTTAGATATTTATTTTATATCAACATATATCACTTGTGAACATGTATATGAAACAGATTAAATTAAAGAAAGCAAGAAATTGTGTTTTCTATAAACAAATAACCTTTTCCCCTCAGTAATCATCAATTCGAAAACAAAAACAACTCTTGTAGTTATGTTTCAACTTTTATTACATAATGCATTGAATTTGAAACATGAAATGATAGGGCTTCTATTATATTGATTCAAAAAATTAGAAAAATATTAAAAAATTATCGAATCGTATTTAGCTTGTTCACGGACACAACGTTTAAATTGATCAAATTTTGAGTTTGATACTTCACTATCATTATGTGTCTGTGAAAAAAAACCAATACTCTCATCAATAATTGAAAGATGTATAGAAGAAAAAGAAAACAACAACTAACATGAAAATTACGAGAAAGTCAATCTTTCATTACAGTCATAAATTCATTATAGCTTCTATAAGAAAAAAGAATTTCATCTGAATTCTAAAAAAACACTTGATTTACAAATGTTGATCTTCATTAGCATCGAATATTCGAAAGATGAGAGCAATTATATGAGATTCAAGTTCAGAACCCATTGAAATTTTTACTGCTCGTTGAAATTCAGCTACAAGGCAAATATTTAATTAATATTTTTAATGAGAGAAATGCTTGCCTTGTGAGATTGGTTTATTTGATAATTGATGAAAACGCATACTAATAGTAAAGTCTTCAAGATTATTGAGAAATACAGAAAAATGTTTAAATTCTTCATATGTATTTGCCTATTTTAATAGAAGCTTAGTTAGATTAATGATAAAAAAGGCTAAATTTTTCCCAGTACATTTTGCTTATCGCCAAGTTTTCTGACATTTTTTAATATAGATTTTTTTGTATGATGATCAAAATCTGCATAACGTAAAAGCATCTCAGCAAAACTCAACTCTGACATTGTTTTGAAACCATGTGAAAATTCACTAAATTCAATTTCAAGTACTTCTGTTTGGAGATTTCCCATAAAACTATATAAAAAAAAATCATTTTGAATTATCTTATTTTTTTTTGTATGTACCGTTTAAATTCTGCATAATTCAATGTATGACGACCGATTTTACCAAAAAATGTATAAGTAATGTAGCATTTGCTTGTTCACTATTATCAAACTACAAAAAGAAAACATTAGTTTGATTTAGATTTGTGAAAATTATTGATCAGAAATATCAATCTATTGTTGAGCCAGACAGAATTGGTTTCAAGCGATAAGGATATATGGACGAGTGGCAATCTCACAGTATTGTTTGAGTTTTCAACAAACATTTGAGACTATTGACCGATTTGAATATTTTTTTTTTGTTGTTTTGATCTATTATATAACCTTCACTACCACCGAAAAAGTCAATGTTTTACCGTATGCAGTTCTCAAGTTATGGACCCTAAAAATGTCGAAATCCTGATTTTTCATGTCATCTATCAATTAAAAGTGGAATTTGTTGTGATTTTTATTTCGTATTTTGTTTTTGATTTAACTTTTTTACTACCTTGCAGAGGATACTTTGGACGTTCAGAGAATGCACATGAACTAATGCAATATCATACTTTTTTCGTTAAATATTGATGACCTTTGAGCTGACAAACACTTGTCGTTTATTTGTACCTTGAGATTTTCCTGTTTGTTTTGCGCTCAACGGTGTCACATCTCAATCCTTTGAAATCAAATAATTACCCTTGTTCAATTCACGTGAACTGCTTGTGATTAAAATGTTCTGCGAGATTTTTGGGTTTATGTCTATACCAAATCGTGAAGAAAACCATAGTTATTTCATATCAAACGATTCCTCTTTTAAGGCACTATGCAGAGCAGGACAACATTGCAGCGAATATGACATATTGACTTATCAAACGATATGTCGCACATTTTATTTATATTGATTATTGATCATTTCTAGAAAAATGACACCGGATATTGTAACAATTTTTCAGAACCACTGTCTGTTCGTCACTGCCTTTACAATAGTAGTCGGAAGATTGTTTTTGGACCAGTTTTGTTTCACAGACGGTACAATGAGATTGAAAACTATCCCTATATATATATGTTTGCATTTTCTAATGCATAAATACGTATGATGTCTTAGTTCCTTTAATTAATCCTTTCTTTATTGAATATGTTACAAACATGTGCAACCAAATATGAACACATTAAATATAAAAACAATGTTTTTCTTTGTAGATTAATCATGAAAGATTATAACAAAAGAAGTATAAATAAATTAAACTTACATTAAAATAATTATTTTGATTTTGATTTTGATGAAGAATGTTTCTTTGATTGTCGACGTATCATACGTTTTATCACTCATTACTCTTCCAAGCTAAAAACACTTAATTATTTATTTCGCAAATAAATATTATCAAACATACTAAAAGAAATTCATCTTTATCAACCAATTGATTACCTAAATAATTTCTGTTTAAACTGATGAAAAACAAATATTTTAAATTTATTTATAATTACAAAGAATTTTTTCAAAGTTTATCTAAAACACATTATAGTCAATGATATATTCTTTTAAATATTCTTGAATGTCTTCTTAAAAAAAGACAAAATCTAAATTGCAAGAAATGTATAGGAAGATAGCCCGTGATCTAGTCTTTCATAAACGACTTGTTTGTTTTTATTTGGCACTTTTTTCTTTGTTAAAATGTCTGCTGGTTGCTGTAATTATCTGCTTGAAATATATGTTGTCTTCAGAAAAAAAAAATTCGGAAATATTCTTGAAGTAGCGTTACTGTAGCTACATCGATGTCTGAACGTCTCAGATACTTAAGAATAAGTATTAGTTATTATTAAGTATTTTGAAAAACCTTACCATCCGTATCAAATACAGCATATGTAAGTTCGAATTGTGTAGAAGGTTCTAGATTAATAAATCGATGTATTATTAATAAAAATAATATTTCTTACTTGTTAAAATCACCCAGAGAAATAAATATTCTGCATATGAGATAAGACCTATGAAATGATCAAAAGTCAAAAGCACAAAAAGTATCCTAAATGATACCAGCATCTTCAAGATTTCGAAAAAATCTTTTTGATCCTCGATGTTTTGGTAGTGTCATATATAAAATAGTGTTAACCATGTCTTCTGTTAACTGTCGACGACCAATACGAGCTAATAGAAAATCAAATGAGACTCACAACTAATATGAATTTTTTTTTTCTTACGTCTAGGTCGCTCTGCAAGAACTGATTCAGGAAAATTGGTTGGTGTCTAAAATAATTGTTTTTGTTAAAGATTATTCAAATAAAAATAAATGGCCATATATATTTCTCCATTATATTCAATCGAAGCAAAATCACAAAAACGTCTTTCACGAACATTGTTAATACTTTTATCTGTTGTATTTAAGTCATCTTTCTCATTTTCTTCATCATCCACATTATCGTCATCGTCAATATTTTTTCTTCGTTCAATCTGTGAATTTTTTGAAAATGCTTTTCCTATGTTTCGTTGCTTCTTAAAAAGTAAAAAACCAACGTAATTTATTTAAGTAAAAATGAAATTCAACTTACGAATTCCGCAGCTTGAACTGTTAGTGCAGATAATAAATGATTATTTATTCGAGAATAATCATAATGAGAGAAGAAATAAGATGATACTATGGATATACTTGTAATAGCAAGTGTTTTCCAATATCTTACAAAGAAATTAACCATTTTTAATTACATCTGAAAAGTAAAAAAAAATGATTTAATCTTTTTCGATGAAAAAATAACAATTATTTATTTGATATGAGAACATCTACAGAGTATGATGGGAATATGAATATTGCAGCAAATAAAATTTAGATTATTGAATGATATATCCACATTTGATTCTGATAATTGATCTTTATTTGTTTGTTAAGATAAATAATCTTTAATCAAAAATATGGATCAATAAAATACATATGTATATTATTTCTAATGCCATGTAAAACCTTAATCTTTCCTTTGAAGGTTGTATCTGAATGGTGTACTATGGATCAGGAAAAAAACAAATGAATCAGCCAATTTCTTCTATATATTTGGTCGTTTAGTTTTATTCTGTTTATACAGACGATTGTGCAGCATACGAATGTATGCATAATCAATATAGATCTAAACGAGACCAAGAATAATTTCATGAGTTTAAATCATGTATCTCATCCTGACACGTCAACCAAAATTAAAATACTTTGAATATATTTTCTTATTTCGCATTATGATATTATAGGATGTTATATTTCCTTCGATTAATTATTACAATATTTTTGAGCAATAAACATTAGTTTTGAAAGATTTATATACAGAGATGAACAAAAGTCTTCGATTATTCTGGATATCAACAACCATAGTAGCCAGGCGTGTAACAATCTTTATGCATATAGTTAATTAAAAATTGTAGGTCTATAACCTAATTATTAGAATGACAAGAAATTGTATATTGTGAAAGTTCTGTCAGTATCATAAGGAACTACATATAATTCTCTAAAATATCAGCACATAGAAATATATAGATCGATCTTAGAATATTCATAACTTAGTGATGGTTTCACGGATTCAACATAAACGTTGGATTACAATTCTACAATTATTGTATTGTGACTATTTATAGTTTCTTCTTTGTTATAGACAAAGTTTTCAATATTCAGTAAATTTAATCTACGGTCAATATCATGAATTTACCTTCATGATGCAGTATATGTTCATAAACTTTCAGATCCTCATTCACTATTACATAGAAATACATCTGACTGATGTTTTTTGTCATATACATTTCTTCGATTTAGAAAAACGTGAAAATATGTCGAACAAAAGTAGAACACTTTGATATATGGTTCACAACAAAAAAGAAAAGTATACAAATCCTTTAATTTTTAATGCCAATCATCACATATTTTTCTTAAATTTTTTGTCTATCCTCGCATCTCTTCATAATCTATATAAGCTCCAATGTCAATATATTTCATAAAAAATAATTTATAAAATAAGTATACGTATAGATCAATAATTATATAGAAAGATCTTGATGCAGCATTATTTTCCTATTTAGTGAAGACAAGGTAGATTTTATGCTCCACGTTCACTTCACACGGTCGACTAGGTAACGCATACTGGACAAATTCAAAGTAGATGTTAGTAAAATGTATTGATATTTAAACTTGAAAATTCTGTCAATATCACAATAAAGCTTTTATTGCTTAGACAAATATATGCATACAACTTATTCATGTCAAGTATAATTCAATAGTACAATAATGCATCAACATGTATTCATGTTGATGGCAGGGGTCAAAGTTTGACACAGAATGAATTGCATTTTTGACAGATGAATACTAGAGAAAAATCGGCATACATTATTGTAGTGACGTAAATCAGACATGGCTAGAGGGAACGCTGCTCTCTTATCTCCGAAACGTAAAATATAACTAAAACAATCAAACTGAGCTATTTTCAAAGTAATCGAATTGCTTTATAAACACAGCTTTTCCTACACATTATCCATTTCAAAAACGAAGATTTGTCGATGGAAACAAGAGAGAGAGCTACAATTTTAACTATTACAAAGCGGAGATGGCGGTGTATCGAATCATCTAATACAGATTTTCTTGGAAAGTGGTTTTAGGTTTTCCAATCTACGATTTCGAAAACCAATGTATTGCGTCTAGTGACCACAATGAATTCTCAATTTTTACGAGAATATTAGAATCGTCAATTGATGACATATAAAACTACACAAGTTGTAAATTTTTTACTTTAATCAGTCAGAAATTATCAATATTTTGCTATAAGATTCTACGTGATTTTTCCAAAAAATTAAGTTAATATTTGTCAGTTTGTTATACATTTTTCATGAAGACTTACCTTGCTGTAACACGACGTATTGCCTTCCTCTCTTTCTGATGGTGGAAATCGTAGCTCTCTGTCGTTTTAACAGTTCTTCTTTTTTGAAATAAATAATAGTTATGGATTCAATCTATTAATTAATTAGAAGTATTAATAATATATGTTAACACTTCAAATGCAACTTTTCAAGAACGACCGAAACTAATCTTGATAGTGCGGTTGTGGTTGTGGGTGTAGAGAAAGTCATTACTCATACTCATAATTAGACGTATCGAAGGTATGATTGAAGCATATATTCAACGTGCCGTTCGCGCTTAGCAATTCAAGCTGTTATGAGACAAGATATTTTAGTACAAGATAAATTTGATATTACTTCAAAAGAAGGCGACAATCGTGAAGCTATTTAAAAAGTCAGAGATTCACTGTTTAAAGAATAAAAAGAGATGAATGATAGCAGGTACCGAAGAGGAATATTTTCTTCTGTAAAGAGAAACGGGTTCGGGTGATATTTGTATTTTATACGCTGTTCATTTTGTTGTATGTAATAAAGACTTATGATCAGAAAGTCGACTATTACATAAATCTTGAACAAAATACTTGTTAGAAGAACATTTAGTCGATGATGATGATGATTACTGATGAATGTGAATCAAGAATATAGTACATATGAAGAGGATGTGGATCATGTATCACTTTTGTTCTGATGAATGATTGTGAGTACTTCTGTATATTTTGAGATATATCCTTCGCATGAAATAATTTATAAGGATACTTTGAAACCAAAGTTTTTTTCACATTACAAATGAGTTCTAGATTTTTGCGAATATTGTTGAATATAAGTTAGATTTCGATCAGAGATAAATACAATTGCATGATATATTAGTCGATGTTTTAAAGTATCTTTGAGATAAAAGTCATTAGAAGCTATGTGATAGTGTATGACATGAAATGAATTGTATCTTCTCCATGATGTTTGTCAATATAAAGTGGATGCATTTAACATGTTTTTAAAATGCAAACAGACATTATTACATGCTTCAATTCTTTCATTTCTTATCTTCAGTCATTTTTTATAATTTTTAGCTTTCTTTCTCATATTTTAAGACACACTCACTGCAAATAAATTACGCAATTTATTCTAATTATATGTAGACAAGATAATTAAATATTCTTGTGGATGTTAATAAATATAAGTTGGGTGCGGTTGACGTATAATATGATCATATCAGATGTTGAGCGAAATCTTTTTGTGTTTTTGAGCAGTTTTGACATTTCTAGAGAAAATTTTATTAAGAAAAGTGAATATTAGACGGTATATATTTGCGTCAAAAGATATGTCATGAGTGTGTGTGGGTGTTGGTGTGGCAAGGGTCGATTTGTTAGCCTTTCTTGGGCATGCATATTTTGAATTAATGATACAAAGTAGGTATTAGTGAGATTAGTTTCGGTTGTCGTTGAAAAATTGGGTGTTTGGAGTGTTAGTATAAATTACTAATACCTTGATGATTACGCATCGCATTAGAACTATCGAATTTCAATTCAAGTTGATAGAAGTATATCTCTAAGATGTATCTGAGCATATATAACTAAGGCTTCTGATATTTCAAGAAATCACTTCTTGAGTAAATAATTCAGCATCTATAAATATACTATTGACAATGTGCAGAGTTAATCTTATAACAGCAGTGGTAGTACAGTAAAAGCAGAAAATGCGTCTACTACGTTGTTTCTCTCTGAACATCTTTGTTCTGTTGGCTATTATCTCATTAATCGATGCTTCACCCCTCCTCGTTCCCAATGAGTCAGCTTCTGCAGAAAAAAGTTGCTCGGACTACTGTACCAACAACGGTATTTGTTTAATGGATGACGATGGTCCAAAGTGCTATTGCCTGCCCGGATGGATGGGAACACGTTGTGATCATATTCGAGAGCGCATTGTTCATGCAGACTTCGACTTTTTCAAGGGTGCACCATCAAGTTCACGGGCTACTCAGTGCCCACCGCCACTGCAAGTGGTATGTAAAAATGGAGGACAGTGCTTTCTAGACAACGCCAATCAGTTGATTTGCGCTTGTTCAAACGATTACACGGGCGACTTATGTGAATTCGACTCAGGTATGTATTTTTTACTTTGTATCTGCAATTTTTTAATCAGTTAAAAAGTTGATGAGATCCTTATAGATAAGTCAGGTACAGAAGAGAGTTGGAACAGGAAAGTCTCCTTTAAAATTTAAACCATGATCATTTCTGATTTCAAATGGATGATTTAATACGAGAGCTACAGTGAGCTTTGAAAATATTCTTGAAATTAATCTTTCTTTATTCACTTCTGATAGAGTGCCGCATCACTTAGCAAAGTCGTGAAAACTTCTTAAAATAACAAAAATAATGTCACTACATGCATTGCTTGATGTTTTTCGATAGAGATACAAGTAAGTCCCATAGGAGCTCACTTATTTTCTCAAAAAGCAAATAATTTCTTCTTAAACCGTTCATATGAAACAAAAATTCGGATAGAACATAGTGATGACGGATGGAAGAGAGAGCAGTATTCTGTTGCATCCTCACTAGGATAAAAGTTTTCTATAGAAGACAAAAGTGATTTTCTCTTGAAGCCTGTACATGGGAAGGAAATGGATCATAATAAACAAGTGATACAAAAATTGTTAGGGTACGTGATATCCTAAAATTCTAGCACAATATCTGATTTAAAAGAAAACATTCACTGTTGAACCGCAACGAAAACAGTGACCTTTTCCCAAACTTATTACAAGACTGATTTGGTTTTTTTTTCTCGATTATGCACTATTCAAGGTTGCAAGGATTATTGTGCAAATCAAGGTACTTGT